GAAGAGGGGCGCAGCACTGAATGATCGTCGGGATCGCAAAAAGGCCAAGGGCTAGCGCGTGCACCTGCCCAAGGACAAGGCCATGATCATGGCCCAGTATATGAAGAACAAAGAGATATTAGACAAGCCCAGAGCGATCAGGTGCAGAGATTGTGCCTGAGCGACGGGGAAACCGCAACCGAGGAAAAGCCTGCGGGCAACGATGCGACCACCGCCAAGGTATTAATAGGTAGGCGCAGGCGACAGAACTGATAAAACACACAGACAAAAGGTTTATTACAAAGATTGTGTTTCACCACAAAATGTGTGTAGCACACCACAACAAAGCAATAGCACCACAAACGTACGTGCGGCAAACCACATTTTGCAGAAGCACATTAAATTCAGGTGAATCCACACCACTCCATCTGAGCGAATCACGTTTGAGAAAGTTTAGATTTTCAACCTATGAAATCACCCTATCCACGCTTCAGACCATAAATCCCCCAAACAGAGATCGCTTCATTTTAAAGATACCGAAACAACCTTAAGCTTCTCAAGCCCTTAACCCTTTAGCTACTTGGCGGATTTGAGGTCCGGAAAGACCTCTACCATAAACTGTCTAAGCCGCAATTGGGTTTAATAGAGTCAAATGATTTGCAAAAGTTGAGTTAATATGGTAGGAGTCCACATGGACCTCTACCTCACAATTTTTCAACAAAGTTAGCAAATTGTGAGCGAAACATATGACGATTTGTATTGATTTCTGGTAGAGGCCCCTTTGGCCCCGTAGCAAAGGCTCAGTGGTTAAAGGGTTAACTCACGCGTAAGATATTCCCAGCCCTCGTATGGACAACGGTTTGCAACAACATGGCCCGCGAAGACTCCCAGCTGCTACTGGACGGCATGAAATTGTTCGTCATCGTCAAGAGCCAGCTAGTCTCCTGCGTTGTATGCGCTACTAGCTGCTACGATGCTCATCCGAAACATGCAAGACAGCGACACCGTACGATACATGTCCGTGGAAGGCAAAGCTGTTGACTTGCCATAAATCCACCGCGTTATATTCATGGAAGTTGTTGCACATGAAATGGTCGTTCGAGAGCTGAAAGAAGCCCTAGATGACACCAAGGCCCAAAGCGTATGGTCGTGAGATGGACACCCAGGGCCTAAAACCAGCTAGTGTTCGCATGGGAATGGGACGATGTCTCGGTCTAGTGGAGCGAGATGCCAACGTTGCGACAGGTTCAATGGTTTGTTTGCAACTTCACGATAAACCACTTGAACCGCAATGACCACGACGACATTTTGTAACAAATCAACCGGCTTGTGTACAATCGAGCGACGTCGGACACCGAGTCATTTTCGTTTGCCTGGGATCGCGAACCCAATGGTAATTTTGATGTGGGAAACGGTCCGACGAGAGGCCATTCCTGGTGGCCTTGACAACTAAGTGACTGAAACGTAACGCTGCGCGAGACGCTTCAACGTTTGTGCTTCACATGGATGTTACGTTTAAGCAAAACCAGGTGGGGTATCCAGTGATCGTTTATGGTATATCCGACAGGTTCGCTCATTTCACCTGGTGGCGTTGTTCATCACGTCCCAACGGCTTTATGTGAAAGCGCTAACGTCACTACGCAAGATATTGACGGCAGTGACGAACCAGCAGCTTCATCTCGAGTATGTGATGGCCGACGCCGAAGTTGCGCAGCAAAGTGCCGTGACGGACGTTTTGGCGTCGACCCTGATGTGTTTCTACCACGTAATGGCAAAAGTGCACGAGAAGGTCAAGGATACTAGATCCAGCTTGTGTGAACAAGTGGTCGCTGATGTTTACGACCTTCACTTTGCATGCAGTCAAAAACCCTACGAGTAACAGAAGGTGGTTGAAATGGAGCGGTGGTCGCGTGAAGAGCAACTGAGTGGATTCAAGCACTTTTTGGAAACTGTGTGGATGACGAGCGGGCTGTGTCGATGGCAATGTTCTAATATGCCAAGCGGATATGCGACGACGAACGATCCTGTGGAGAAGTTTAATAGACTGATCAAGTGCGATTATACACTTCGTACCAAGCACAACATTGGCATGCTTTTTCGGCTACTAGCGGACTGTTGTGGCCACCGGTCGGTGGCACCACGAGCGTTCAAGGAGAGTGCTGATGTCACCAATCAACTTAAGGTCCTAGTATGATATTTCAGAAAGCGCGATCTCATCGTCGACAAGACCCCTAGCCATTCCAGCATCGCATTTTTGCTGAGCTCCCCGAATCCCAACATTGTTCGTGCTGTCGCGTAGCTGCAAACGTGTGTTTTTGCCTGAATTGGGGTGCAGGTGTGAGGTAGCACATGTGTCGGCCCAGATGGTTGTGAACGACGCGCGAAAAGAGTTACAGGGGCAACCGGAAGGGTTTGAAATGTTGGTGTGAGTACGGATATCTGTCCTTGCATGTACAACTTCTAGTTTGCCGTTTGCATTTACGTATTGTTCGATCTCCAGGCCACGTGCTACACGGGCCCTATTAGAGTTCAGGCGGCAAGCTGGTAACACAATACACCTCCATAAACAAAAAAAAGGTGCTACACGGGCTTAGATGGCAAGAAAATGCTTGTCAGTCGCTCTGTCCAAGAAAACGACGACAACCGCATACAATGTTCACGTGTGCCAGCCGGTCGACTGTTGTCAAACGGACATGCCTTGAGCACTGATTAGGACTGAGGCTAACACAAATATCCTTTCTTGTGAACCGAAACATTTTACCTCTTCCCAATTGACTGTAAAAACAATCTGACTAAGGTCAATACAAATAGTTTTCTGAGATATTTTGCATTTTTCCAGCTGTCTATAAAACCTCTGACACAGAAATTAAACCAACGTAGTATAGCAGTTCTGTCCCTCTAGTCATTTAAAAAAAAGCATAGCGATGTCACCAACCTCCCCAACTCAAGATGATCCCCCGACTGGCTACTACCTGTTTTTTTGTGGTGCCAGCGGCATCTTCGCAACCGAGGCTGGGGCCGCCTCGACCAGGCAGCCGTCAGGTATTTGGGGACGTGGGGTCATCTAGCCGAATTTCCAAACGTCGCAGCCGCAATTCAGCGACTGTTACATTATGTGACTCACGCCCGTATCACAAAGACTCGTCTCATCAAAGCGGCCTCGCAAGGGAACGGTGCAGGGGAAACGAAGTGGGTGCTGCCGTCTGGAGCCGACCTGCAAGGACGGCTAGCCTACCAGATGCGTACTATCCTCGAGGACCGACGGATTGACGGTCGTGTTTTGTTTCTTATGTCTTGGGAATCTACTTGGGAGCCTACAGCAAATCTACCATCGGGTGAGCTTCGTCAGTACAGACAACGCAAGCGCCGCAGAGTTGAGGGCGCTTACGTTGAGGTAGAAGCAGAAGAAGGGTTGTTTGAAAAGAAGCCAAACACCGGTGCTTATTCTTTATATATATTCAAATAATTACACATTTGATTGGACGATATATGCATGCATAATATGCTAGCAAACTCATCACCAAAACCCATCAGCTAGAACAGTACAGGGACGAACCCATCAACTCGTTCTACACAAGTCTTCAACAACGAGTCCGTTGTCACACTATGCTGGACACAGTCAGGCCTTTCTCTCTGGTGCAACCACCGAGCCAGCCCTCGGGTGGGCGTGGTACGCTGTGTCGCTGGTGTCGCCGTAGCCTTGTCAGTGTCACTGGTGCCGCCGCCGAGCCAGCCCCGGGTGGCCGTGGCACGCCGCGGCTTGACTGTGTCATTGGTGTCGCCGTAGCCTTTGTCTGTGGCACTGGTGCCGCCGCCGATCCAGCCCCCGGATGGGCGTGGCACGCCTTGGCTTCTTCTTGCCCTTGGCGGAAATCCGGAAAGGAGGTGGGTGAATCGCTGGGCGGCTGTGAGGGATGGGCGGGATGGACAGATCTCTACCACTCGGAGATAGCGGCCCATCCCGCAGTGCCACGGCCACGTCTTCTCTTCTAATCTGTGTGGCAAGCACAGTTCGTGTGTGTTTGCCGCACTTCGTTCTGGGTTTTTCATATTTTGTCGACGCAGGCCATGAGTGGTCGCGCGAAGAGCTCAAAGAGCTCGAAGAAGATCCGGAAAGCCAAAGAATCAGAAGCCGTGAGCGCGAGATCGTCCGGTGATATGATTCGTCGGTAAGCACGCTGAGAAGGGAGCGGGATTGCTTGCGCAGAAGGAGAAGGCTAAACACGATGCGGTGAATCGAAAAATTGAGGTAGGTCCGAAGAATTATCGCGAAGTTATGCGTAGCCGGCCGCGAGTGAAGTGGTTAAAAGCTATGGCGGAGGGCAATGAAGACCAGCGGCGTGTGGGGATCCTTCGAATGCCACGATGTGTGCACGTATTGCACACAAAATGAGTGATAAGACAAAGAGAGACGCGGAGGTCTTATTGAACGGCTTGATGCGCGCTTGGTGGCGAGTGGAAATTAGCAAGATCTTGAAGTGAGCTATGGGATCACCTTCGCCACTGTAATTGAGATGTCCAGTGTCAAGCTCTTCTTTGTGACGGCCAAAAAGTGGCTCGTGTCATCAAAACATGAGGTCGTGCCAAATGCCGGAGTGGTTACGGCAACCATAATATGGGACATTTATGGTTGCTTTAGATCTCTATGGTTGCGTTAACAGAATTCAAAATTCCACGCGTAAAATATTGTTCTAATTTTCAGTTTTTGACTTAGATGCGTATTTAAAACTTGTTTCGCTTAAGAACGTGTTTGTTCAGTTAAGTACGAATAGCCAGAGTCGCTCATCCACAGCAAAACTGATGTATCAATAATGGTACATGTATTAATAAGAGCTCTGTAAGCTGCATCATATGTGTCGTATGAATGGAGCCAGCGACCTAGAAATTGTAAGCATGCCCTTCGAGGCTCGAAATACATGCTTTTACAATTTCTACTTGACTCTTTATTCTTTTTCAGCCAATGAAATTGTCCTAAATTGTACTTTTCGTGATGCTACTGAAAATATAAGGTTGAGGTGACAATGGATACGCAGCAGCAGGGAGACCCCGAGCGTCTACAGGAGCTGTTCCGCACATCGTACGCGCGCCTCCTATCGCAGGGTCTGGAGCCTAACGACGCGGTGGCGCGTGCACTACTGGAGATGCAGCAGCTTTCAGCCAACGGAGCTGAAGCATCCAGTCCATCAACCCTGACCCAAGAGGACGTGAAGATGGAGGATGCGTCAACCCAACAGCAGCATCAGAAAGATGATATTGAGATGGAGGCACTCAAGGAGGCGGCTCCATCCGCTTCAACGTCCGTCGTGACCAGCAACTTGGCTGCCACCACCATCACGGAAGCTTTTGCCGCTGGAGCTGCACGTACACCTACGAAGACGCTAGCAACGCCATCTTCTTTTGCTGTTAATTCTCACAATACCCAAACCAGTAACGGCTATGGAATAAGTGCTTCCACGTCTGTTACTTCAATGGGGACGCAGCTTGAGAATTATCTGAAGCTCGCAATGGAGACGGACGACTATCGAACGGTCAAGAGACTGGCGTATCAGGTCTTCTCAGACCCAGATGCGTTGAGTGCTGCTTTTGTCAAGGGCACGTAAAAGACGAACTGAAGGCGCAATGGTGGGGAATCGATCGAGACCAGATGGGGCGAGTGTTTTCTCTTTTGGATCGAGCGATGGCTGGCAGCAACCGGGAAGCGATGCAGAACACATTCCGAAACGCACTGGAGATGTTAGTGACGCAGCCGTGGAATGTTTGCTCGACGTGGCATGCCCCACGTGCTCTACGCTTCTTTTTGGTGCTATTCGAGCATCCATCGATGTTTGATCCGGACTATTTAAACGTTGTGGGTGGGCTGTGCAGACTCTTCTTTTATTTATCTGAGGACGCTAAAGCTCTCGTACGCGAGCAGTGGATGAACTCTTATTCAGCTGACGAGCTACATCGCCTTCTGGACATTCTCCAGCAGGCAATCACCGTGTGTCTCTATGGATCTCGCAAAATGGATCTCGTATATGCAGCCTGTGGTGTCCTCGCTGAGCTCCATGTCGTGAACCGAGAGCGTGTCAGTGGAATGGAGCCATTTGCCACTTATGAGGAGTTCTATAACGATGCGGTGAATTCCGAGGTGGACGTTGTGCAGGACTATTCGCGCTCCATTATCTTCTGGAAGAAACGACGAGCAGCTACACGTGCTGCTCGCCGAGTAGCGTCCGAGGAGATACTGCGTCGTCGACAGCTGAATGGAGATCAAAACGAGGCCGAACGTGAGCGAGAATGGGTACAAGAAGAAGCACAGCAAGACGCTGAACGAATGCCGGAGCGCCAGCTCTCAGAAATGTCGTTTTGTGACTTCCCTTTTGTATTGGACGCAGCGTCCAAGAGTAAAGTGCTGCAGATCGACTCGGACCTTGAGCAGCGCTCACGTGCACAAGACGCTGTGTTGTCTCGCTCGATTGTGCTGATGGAAAGTTCTGCTTCGCCCTACTTGTTGCTAAAGGTGCGGCGTGAGCATATCGTGGAGGACGCGATGCAGCAATTGGTGCATCTCTCGGCATCAGCAGAGACTCTGAAGAAACCACTCAAGGTCAAGTTTGTTGGAGAGGAAGGCATCGACGAAGGTGGAGTACAGAAGGAGTTTTTTCAAATTCTCATTCGACAGCTACTGGACCCAGCCTACGGAATGTTTACGTATGACGAGGAGACCCGCACACTGTGGTTTAACAGCGATTCCCTGGAAGCGACGATGGAGTTCGAGCTCATTGGCACGCTGCTAGGGCTAGCGATATACAACGCTGTTATCCTGGACGTGAGCTTTCCCCACATTGTGTACAAGAAGCTTAGGGGCTGCTCACTAGGGTTGGAAGATCTTGAGTTGGCACTACCTGATCTTGGTCGTGGTCTGCGGCAGTTGTTGAAGTTCGAAGGCGACGTGGAAGGAGTGTACCAGCGCAATTTTGAGTATTCGTACGAAGTCTTTGGAGAGGTGAAGACGGTCGATTTAAAGCCTGGAGGCAGCTCGATTCCTGTGACCAATGACAACCGCGAAGAATATGTAACACTCTACGTGGACTACGTATTGAACAAGTCGGTCTCTCGACAGTATTCAGCGTTTCACCAGGGTTTCCACCAGGTCTGCAACGATGAGGTGCTGAATATGTTCCGATGGGAAGAGTTGCAGTTGCTGATCTGTGGCAGTAGCGACCTGGACTTCGAAGCGCTTGAGGAGGCTACACACTACGAGGACGGATTTACAGAAAATAGTGAGGTCATCCGGTGCGAATCTCCATTGCACAATTATGAATCTGATTAGTTAGGCAGCTAACCCTTGTGTCTGTATCTATCAGAGATTTCTGGATTATTGTGCACGCACTTCCATCGGAGGACAAGAAGAAGCTGCTGCGGTTTGCAACTGGCAGCGACCGTGTTCCAATTCGCGGACTCTCGAATCTCGTGTTTGTCATCTCACGCAATGGGTCCGACTCGGAGCGTCTCCCCGCAGCGCACACATGGTACGGAAGATGTCGAGCGTACAAAATCCTTAGTTGTAGCTGACACGTTGTGTATTTGGACAACCAGTTTCAACCACCTGCTGCTGCCTGAGTACAGCAGTCGTGAGAAGCTCAAGGAGCGTCTTCTGTTGGCGATCAACCAGGCCGAAGGCTTCGGGCTGCGCTAAAAATGCTGTACCAAGGCTTTTCAAGTACAGTACTACACCCCGTTTTCGCGCCCTAACCTTTGATAAACTTCCGGATGTGATGATCACGAATCCAAATGAACTATCGTTTGTAGTCTAAAATCGGATTTATTTCCAGATCCTATCCAGCGAAAATGGGGTACAGTACTGTACTGCACCCCGTTCTCGAGCCCTTGAACCTTTGATAAACTTCCGGATATGATGATCCTAAAAATAAAGAACTATTATTTCTTTGCTAAAATCTGATTAATGTGCAAAATCCTATATGGTCCACCCCCGCGAAAACGGGGTGCAGTACTGTACATGTACTCTCGAACATGTAGTACTACATACTAGTAGTATTAAAATATAAATGTTATTACTTTACACTTACATGTATTAAAACCAGCAGTCCCAGTTCCAATTCTTTGGTAATACTACTAATAAGCTTAGTATTGTGAATTCCGACCAAATTTGCCTATTATTCAGTGAGTCACTCGAATACAATTTTCCTGTTATTAATATTATAATTCGAAGCGGACTCAAGTGATCGAATTGCGTACTTAAGTGGATTCTCTTTCGAGGCAAGATTTGCACAAAGGACCGCGCAAATATGGAGTACTGTACAGTACGCACAAATTTGTCAGTCTCAAATATGCTAAGCCAAGACGCCGGCACTGCTGCGCTGGGATTGTCGCCATGTACAGCATACGTCGCGATGCTGCCGTACGCCTACACCACCAACGACGTCGCGCAGCTCTTCGCTCCATTTGGGAAGCTGGCGCGTGTGCTGGTGCTTCGTGACAAGCAAACGCGTCTCAGCCGTGGCGTGGCCTTTGTGCAGTTCGCTCGAGCCGAGGACTGTGCCAAGGCGGTAGTTGCGATGAACAAAGTGTGGCTGGAGGGGATGACGCTCGCAGTGTCCCTCTGTCGGGACAACGGCCGCTCGCGGGAGTTCACCAAAAAGCGCAAGTACACGACGTCCCAACGCTGCTTCGAGTGTGGCGACTTGGGCCACGTGTCGTACGAATGCCCGCGCAACGTACTGGGCACACGGGAGCGGCCTGTGACAACAGGAGGTAAGAGTAGCAGGAAGAATCTCAAGAAAAAAAGAAAGAAGTTTGCTCCGCATGAGCGCGCGCACTATTTCAATGACGAGGGCGTCACCAACATTTTGTACGTAATAGTTGCTGTGGGATGGATACATTCAAAGACGAGTCTATCTCATGGATTATTGGATGCAGAGCGCCGCCTACGGGTTCTGACGACGAGGACCTCTCCATCTCGCTGCTGGCGTACCCGTCGACAATATCTTCAGCTTCAGCCTCGTCGGCACCGCCTTTGGTTCTTATGCCGCCAGTATCCGCAGTATCAGCAGCGATTTCAGCGCGTCGTCGTCCCCAACGGAAAGCAGACAGCTACTTCAGCGACGAGGATGCCAGCGACGACGAGTGAGTTGTTGGAGAACGTGGACTTTTATCGCGTAATTTGGGCAATAACTTATCAACCGTGCGATGCTTATTTCCGTTGACGCTTGTTGCCATTGGGACGCTTTCCACTTCCGCTTCGACGATCCAATCCCGTGTACTTAAGCATGCGCGACGTCATCTCCTCAGCCGAGACTTCCTCGCGGAGCTCCTTCTCTTCGGATGCGGCAAATCGTAGCGCTCTAGATGCCTCCTTGGACTCATCCTCCACGCCCTTATTGAAGCCACCAAAGGAGCGACGACCGAAAAGCAGGGGCAACGATGGGTCGGGTACGTCACGCATGCAGATGATCTTGGACCCGTCATCGCCCTGGTCACCATCTTCTGGCGTGGCTTCCCAGGTGTTCTGCTTGTGCTTCTCCTTTACAGCTGCGATGCGCTGCGCCTCTGTTGTTTTCTTACGTTGCATGAACTGCAAAAGGTAGCGATAGGTTAGTGCAATGCCCCAAGCCAATGGAAGCGCGGACGAACCTTCATGGCCAGTGTCTTCTGCGACAACTTAGCCGGAGACTTGTGCACCTTGCGCGCTGGTAGGCTGTCACCCTTTACCGGCACTGCATTGTCTTTACTGCTGCTGGCCTTGTCCTTGGACTTCCTGTCTTGCGGTCGGTCGCTGTCGGGCTTCCACATACCTATGTAGGTAGATGCAAGCGATCGTTGAATGGAGGTCGAACTAGGGTACAGTGTGCCAGAACAGTATTAACCTCAGTTTAATGTGGTCCACATTTGGCTTTTATAGATGGTCTCTAAGGGTGGTTCTTAACCATGCCATGGCACAAAATCGGATATTCTGATTGGTCCATTTTTCTGAAAGACCTACCCCTAACTGCTACAATGGCAGAATTTTGGTGCCATTCCACGAGCAAGTGCCACCGCGCCACATACAAAATTTAAAGTTAAGCAGAATATTCTTTGTTGGATATCGTGAAAATCTTCTTTTCATGACGCCACACGACATGGAGTCGAAAGTGATGGTCCTGATCATACTTCTTCTCCTGATAGTGCTGACCGCAACACTCCCCGCAACTGCTCGTCGAAGCTGTCTTCTACGTAACCGCATCAACTGGGAGGTGCACTCGCAGCTTTTACTTGATGAAGGACAGTTTCGCAGGATGTACAAGATGTCTTATGCGTCGTTCATGGCACTTGCAGCCAAGTTGGAGCCATATCTCCCTGTTGACAAGCAGCAGTCACGTAACCGGACGGGGACGGAACCAATTACACACATTAACAAGATTCAGATGTGTCTGCGTTGGCTAAGTGGTGGTTCGTTTCACGATATTCGCATCAATTCTGGTGTAAGTGTCGGAGCATTTTACACGTCAATTCATCAGGTGGTAGACGCCATAATTTCACACCCTGATCTCCAGTTAAACTTTCCTACAACGTTAACCGAGCAACGGCACGCAGCCAAGGCATTCACAAGACTTAGTAACTCGGGATTATTTAAAGGTTGTATCGGGGCAATTGACGGATGGCTTTACCCGATTCAAGTTCCATCCAGAGCTGAAGTTGCGAGAGTTCGTTCGTTTTTTAGTGGTCACTATCAACGGTACGGTGTTAATGTTCAAGCTTGCTGTGACCACCACAGCCGGTTCACTGCAGTTACCTGCTTAAGTCCTGGAGGATCTGGGGATGCGGTAGCATATCTAAAGTGGCAGCTTTCAAATGTTGTTGAAAACCTTCCGAGTGGACTTTACGTTGTTGGTGATAATGCATACACCAACACAAATCACCTTTTAACCCCATTTCCAAGGCCACGAATATCGTCTGCAGCACATGACAGCTACAATTTTCATCTGAGTCAGCTCCGCATCCGAATTGAGATGGCATTTGGTCTGTTGGTGTGCAAGTGGCGTGTGTTCAAGGCGCCACTAGAAATTGGATTTAAACGGGTCCCGTCTACTATATTAGCCGCTTGTATCCTGCACAACTGGTGCATCAACCAACGCCTGCGTGAGAACAACCGCTACTGTGTGGAAGATGACGAAGACTTAATTGATGGTATTGACGAGGTGGGCCGTGAACAAGTAGCCATACAAGATGCAACGATACAATTACACGATGCTTCGATCTATCGGCGTTTGTATCAGTCGTCAGATCTAGCAATTGATGGAGACACAACCAGTTGTTCGGAGTGGGCCCGCAATGCGCTGGTTGGGCTAATTGAGCACGAAGCGATTTTGCGTCCAATGCGCAATATTGCTAGACGAGCACAGCAGAGCCGAGAAACGCTATAAGCCTCATTAGTATCGTTAAATGCCAAAACACTGAGTTCCATTTCGTATGTGAGGCATTATTATCTGAACGCTTCATATCCAGCAAAAAACACGAATGTCCACGTCTGCGAGGTCAAGATTTTTTTTAAGTCTTCGTGGACGTTGATCTTTGGGTGTTGTGACGTCAATCCATTGCCTCCAGTTGGTTCTCGTAGCGGTGTAGGCGCTGCTGATACTTTAGAAGACTCGCCTCTAGTGAAGGATCGATAGCTCCATCCATCTCCGATTTCCGTTGACTTTCCTTTACTTGAGCAATGAGCTGATGCAACTTTGCGATACGATCAATGAGCTGGCTCTCATCTTGGGTTCCACGAGTGCTCAATGAAGCCGTTGAAGATGTAACTGGAGCTCCCATCAGATAATCTGCCATCCTGGTTACCGTACTAACCACTTGATTCTGCCATTTAGCTGTTTTGTTGGTAGGTGTGATGCGGCGAGAAACAGCTAGCTTCAATGAGTCAATTTCATCTTCTGGGTGCATGCCACCATTGACGTAGTGTTCGAGCTCGGGCTTAACTTCAGTGCAGATCTTTAGATAGAGTGTATCTAAGTTGCCGTCACAAAAATTGTAGAAGTCGTTGCTGTTCTGGCCGGAGACGAAATTTTTTGCTTGCGCCTTCTTGTACTTTGCGTTGCCTTTTTTCCACATGTCGTAGAGCTTGGCGTCATCGTGGTGCACGATCATGAAGGGGTTATTGTTGCCGAACCTTGGGTTGTCGGCTGCCTTGTCGAATAGTTTGTTGTAGTCGGTAGTATTTTGCCGAAACTCCACACCAACATCTTTCCAGAATGTTGACCTGTCATTCACTTCACCTACGTCAAGTTGGTCACGCGTCACAGTGTCGTCTGACCGAGCAAGACGCTTCGCAAAGCGGTCGGAGAAGAAATTCTTCATGAGCCTAATGAAGCAATTCTTTGTCTTCCGTAAACCCGGTTCCAGAAGAATATCTTCGTCCACCGTAGCCTCGACAGCTCGTTTTGTTGAGTCATACGATCGCAGGTAGCGTATTTGCTCCTGTTTGCTAGTCGCTCGGAAAAGACGGAGGTTTCTTTCGGTGCATTCCTTTCTTAACTGCGCCACCGTCCAGTCGTTGATTTTCGGCGGGAGGACTTTGCCTGGGTTTTTAACGGTCCAATTTGTCACTCTCGCAGGCGTAATGACTTTGGGGACGACGTCAGCAGTCACGACCAATGATTGTGGGTCCATTTCATCCTCTGATGATGCACTCAATATGGAATCGATAGCTTCCAGCAGTTCAGCGCCAGAACGCCCGCTACTGTAAACGTGAATGTCACTAATAGGCGTTGCTGGTTGAAGCAGTGGCAATGAAAGTGGTGCTCTCAGCGCTTGTACAAACGGAGTGGCACACGCAAGATCCAACGGCGGGTCGGCTGGTGCTGCAGGCTTGCTTGATGGCAAGCTTACTGTACTTCCATGTGCTCTCGTCGCTTCGTCCGCAGACTTCTTCAAAGAGCTGGTTGTTGCGAGCGGTGTGGCTGATGTGTAAGACTCCACAGAGTTCGACGGATATGTAGACGGCAGTATCTTGAGCCGCTTGCGCTTGTTCGCCCCCTTCTCTGAGCTCTTCATCCCTCGCTTGGACATGTTCGTCAGTACAAGCAAGGTAACGTTTCCGTTTGGTTTCCTTTTGGTAAATGATTTTCTATGTCAAATATTAGGTTAAAAAACGCGTTGTGGCACGAAATCGGATTTTTCATTTTTAACCAGTTGGTGCCATGCGTGCCACGAAGATGGAAGTGCCATGGCATGGCATGGCACGTATGGCAGTGGTTAAGAACCACCCTAAGGCCTAGTCTTAACCGCGCGCCATGGCACGAATTTCGTGCCATCTCCATTTTGATTGGCTAATCTCACCTGCGGTGTAGGGCTTGCGGTGCCATTCAAGTGCCATGCATGTCACCACGAAATGCCATGGCAAAAGGCTGTGCCAGGTGCCAGGCCGTAATATTACGGCCAACTCAATATATCTTTCCGCACCAATTTCATTCCGGCAGACGCCGTGCGATGCAGAGGAGCAGAGACGTCAAGATCGTTGTGGCATTGACATGCGTCTTGCTGCTTGGCGATAACGCGGCGGGTGCGGGCGAGCGCCAGCCGTGCCTACCGCCGGCGTTTAAACTGGCGTCACCACTCCCAGTTGCTGTTAAACGAGGGCCAGTTCCGCCAGTACTACAGGATGTCATTCCAGTCATTTGAGAAGTTGTTGCGACTGCTGGCTCCAAGCCTGCGCGTTGATGAGGCTCAATCACGTCGACGGACCGAAGGGAACGAGCCCCTTACTCCCGTTAACAAGCTACAAATGTTTATCTCGTGGCTGGCAGGGTACTCTTTCCACCCGGTTCGGGCGCTTGCTGGTGCTAGCAAGCCGGGTTTTACATCACCATTCGGAGGTGATGGATGTTATCCAAGCTCATGATGAGTTACAGCTGATGTTTCCGGCGACGGAGTACGAGCAGCGCCAGTCAGCACGCGCGTTTGCTAGTCTGGTCAAAAACCCAGTTTATGTCGGCTGCGTCGGTGCTGTGGACGGGTGTTTGTGCTGCATTCAAGTTCCCAATGGCCGCGAGGTGAACTGCGTCTCTTCGTTCTTTTCTGGACATATGGTGTCAACGTTCAAGCGTGTGGAGACCACCGTAGCCGCTTCACTGCGGTGACGAGTGCTAGTCCGGGCGGTATGGGTGATGCTCTAGCGTTTATGAGATGGGAGCTGTCTAGTCTCGTGGAGTCTTTTCCGGTTGGTCTACACCTCGTTGGTGATAATGCCTACTCGAACAGCAACACTCTGCTTACGCCTTTCACGCGACCGCAAACTGCAAGTCAATCAAATGCAACAAGATTGTATCGAGACAGCTTCAACTTTCACCTGAGTCAACTACGTATCAGAGTGGAGATGGCATTCGGGCTGCTGGTGAATAAGTGGCGGGTTTTCAAGGCTCCGCTTCGGGTCGGAGTGAAAAGCATCAAGAAGGTGGTGCATGTAGCGTGTATGTTGCACAATTTTTGCATCACTGAGCGCCTGTGTGAGAGCCACAACAAAGATGTGGACGATGACGCGGACATGGCTGCTACTCTTGAATCTAAACCCGTCCCCGATATAACCGACTTGACTGTTGGAGCTAACGATGCATCGGCATATCGGGCAATGTACGCCTCAACACAAGTCTATCCGGAGCCGACGTCGGAGTCGGAGTTGCTCCGCAACGGCTATGTGGACAAACTGCGACAAATGAAGCGGCTACGACCTGCGTACAACATTCGCCGCGCTGAGAGAGAACGAACTAGTGAGTTGTTGTAAGTTGAGTTTATTAATGTCCATTCGGACAATTCAG